TCTCATAAAGAGGGCCCAGGGACACACAAAGACTTCAACACAAATCCCAGCACTCCGAGCATGCCTGCAAATCCTCTGGGTTCTCGTCTGCCCCCATCCCATGCGTTCCATATGTGCCGGGCATTCTCCTCAGCTTGCAGACTCGCTCACGACATCTATCGAGAAACCAATGGAAGACCATTGGGCCCTCACGGCCAAGAATTCGCGGCTCCTCTCTGGCCTACTGTGCGAACTCGTTCGATGTGCGATGGGCCGTCGTGCGTCCAAGACAGCCGTGGTTTCGGCAGCCCATGCAGTACCAATATCAAACATGAAACTGACTTCACCGACCCCCGAAGAGTTCGCTGGATTCTCGACGCCGCCGCGGAGCGGCCAACAAAATTTGAAAGGCACCAGCCAAATCCGCTTGAATAATGGGGGAACCGCCGTAGACGTCCCCATGGCCCCTTGTCGAGCTTCGAGAACTACCACAAGAAACTGATCGTGGGCAGGCTGTGTGTGCGTGCATGTGTGTATATATGTATATGCGTATGTATGTGTGTCTGTGTATGCTTGTTTGTGAGTCTGTGTCTCTGCGTCTCTCTGTGTCTCTGTGTCTCGGTGTCTCTGTGTGTCTCTGACTCGCTGTGTCTATGTGCTTCGGCGTCTCTGTGTCTCTGTCTCGGTGTCTCTGTGTCTCTGTCTCGGTACCTCTGTGTGTCTCTGTGTCTCTGTGTGTCTCTGCGTGTCTCTGTGTAAACATGTGTCTCTTTACGTCGCTATTTCTCTGTGTGCCTCTCTGTGTCTTGTCTCTGTGTTTTATGTCTTCTCTCTCCGTCCTCTCTCTGCGCTCTCTCTGAATCTTCTCGCTGTGATTTCTCTCTGCCTCTTCCCTCTGAGTCTTCTCGCTGTGTCTTATTGCTGTGTCTGCTCTCTGTGTTTTCTCTCTGTACTTTCTCTATCTGTGCCTTCTCTCGTCTTCTCTCTGTCTTAACGTTGTGCCTTCTGTCTGTGTCTTCTCTCTATGTCCCTGCGTGTTTCTCTATGTCTCTCTGCGCCTCTCTGCGTCTATCCTTGTGCCTTCCTGTATCGCCTCTGTCTGTCTGCGTGCTGTGCGTTTCTATGTGCGTGTGCTTGGAAACCCATCGAGGAGCGACGGGCCCTGCGGTGTACCCGCGGCACTCGGGCGTTGGCCACGAGCCCCCGCGTAACCAGCCAGCACCACCTGGGCGCCGGTGCCCCTCAGGACCAGGGCCGAGGTGGCGGGCCACCGGGGCCCCGTCGAAAAAGACCCAGGGTGTTGTGTGCGTGCGTGTGCGCAGGCTGTGCAATTCGATGTCCCCGCCTTCTCCCGCCTCAACAAGGGCTCCTAAGTTCGCGCTTCGCGCTGCGCGAAGCGCGAATAACTTCGCGCTCTCGCGCCGCCCCCCAAGGGGGAGAAGAGGAGGACGAGGAGGAGGGGGAGGAGGAACGAGGACCGCGAAGCGCGAAGCGCGAATAACTTCGCGCCCTCGAGGGAGCCCTTGCCTCAAGCCCACCTCGGCCCGCGGTTCCCGCTTTCTCGCTCGAGCTCACCTCTTCCCAACCCTGCACGCGACGGCACAAAAGGAAGGCTACGCTACCGCCCAAACGCCCGGAGAAACTCTCCACGCAGAGCCCGGAAGCGAAGCCGACACCGACGCCTCCGCCAGTGCCCGCGACGAAGCGGCGAAAGAAGCTAGCGAGGCAAGCCTTGGACAAAAGGCCAGTGCGGTTCGACTCCGCTCAGCGGTCGATGCAGCTCGGCTTCTCTGGGGCTTCGATTTTCAGCTGCGAGCTCACACCCAATGGCAAATTTGCCTTGAACGTAGCCCACCTCTGTACCACGTGATCCGCAGACCGCATCCCATCGGCACCCTGGAGTAACAACTGTGCGCGGACTGCTTCGGGCTGCAGACCCGCTGGCCGCGAGAGGCGCCGACCACGACGACACACGGGCCGCCCAGGGCATCCTGGCAGCCTTGGGCGCGCCCGCTCCACAGCCGGTGCGCCCAGCTCGGCAGGAGCTGCAGCAGGGCAGGACCAAGCTGCTCCGAGCTGCAGCAAGGCTCCGCACAATGTCAAGCAGCGCTGGATCAGTCAAGCGTTGTCCAGGGACCAACCTGGAGGCATCCAGTCGGTACCTGCAGACCAGGAGATCGAAGGGCATGGCGCGCGCCGACCTTCAAAATCGGCTGAGGGTGGACAAAAAAACTGTGACTCAAACTCGAAGCAGGCAGGGAGACGTACACTGGTTCTTTGTCGCAGCGATGAACGCCACGTCACGCACCGCTCGGGCTAGACTGGGCCGCGGGCTAGCAAACTGTGAACCTGCGCAGCGGGACAGGCAGGGGGAGACACGCCCAGAACATGCATTCACCGAGAGACATACACCAGCGGTGGCGGACATTGTGGAGGAGGCAGAGGCGAACGGCCGAGACTGGAGAGCCCCGGCGGCCCGCAGCGGCACCACCACCAACACCACCACCCGCACAGCCCCTTGTACCAGCGAGCTGAGGACCTCCAGCACCAGCGCCACGAGCTGAGGCACCAGTAGCAGCGGCCAACCTCGATGAACGCTTCACAGGGGCTCCAAGCTGATGAGGGCTCATTGGCTGAAGGGCTCGGAATGAGCACGGCGATGTGTGGCACCAGAAGGCTGAGCCTCGAACGCGAGAAGGTCAAGAAGCTCTGCATGCACAGCTTGTCGGCCTGGGAGTCGAGGGGGCAGCGGCTCGTGTGCGGATACCGTCGCACTGGTACGTGCAACGGCTGAGCACAATTACGTCACGAGTGGGGCAGGTGTAGATGTGCAGCTGCAGCCACGCTCCAGGGTGCTGGAGGAACCAGCGCACGAGCCAAGAAACGCTGTCAGTGTCAGTCTTGATCTGTCTCGACCAACGAGCATCAGAAGCATGTGAGGCAACGCTCCCCGCCAACACCATCATATACTGCATCGCCTTGGAAAGTCTGACTTGGTCATACCCGCTTCTGTCAAATTCGGCACACTAGCAATACTCAGTTGGCAGATCTTGAAGATGTACGCTGAAGAATGATACAGGAATCCTGAAGGGATGCAGCATGAGGCATACGTGGACATGTGTTGCAGGAGTGAGCGGGTGGCCCCTAAATGGGGTAGATAAGTGGGGCCACTTGGGTTGCAGAGAACTGGCCCGGTGCACGCCATGCAACCACGGGAATGCAAATTAGTGCAAGTATTGGAGACCCCCTCGACGCTCAAGGAGTATTGTTGATAACCTTGGCGCCTGCGAGAAGCCCCAGGCAGAAATCGCCGACACGGTGGCCTGCCCAGGGATTTTTGCCACGCCTTTTTCACGAATATACCATTGTCTGCTGAAGGTTAAGGCCGAGTAAGTGGGAGAGGCTGGACATCTGGTGCTGCCAGAACTCAACTCTCGGACCTGGGTATAGTCACGCGGGTCCAAACCTTACAGCTGGCCAGATCTTCGTCATTGGGAGAACGTTCCTAAAGGGCCCTACTCTGCCGCCTTACTTCCATGTTGCCAAACCTCTGTTCTCAAGAATGATTATGATCATCCTGCAGGTACCTGTATACTTGGCCTGATCTCCGAATTGCCACTTTCCCACTTCCAGGCCTGATTCTGATCATCCGTGTGGAAAACATAACGCCGGCCGCATCTCCGTGTTGCCCGAACTCCGCTCCAGGGACTGGTAGATTTCGACGGCCTGGAGCTAACATTCCAACGTTTGGTGCTCGTCGTATTGCCAGCACTTCATCCTCGGGCCCGGGTTTGCGAGTCCGGAGCAAGACCTCCAGCGTACGGTCGCATGGTACTTTTCATGATATTGCGCGCCAGGTCTAGCTTCGGCCCAGCTCTAGCTCAAGCTCCTCTCCAACTCCAGTCCCAGCCCCAGCCTCAGCTCCAGACCCAGCTCCATCCCCAGCTCCAGCCGCAGCTCCAGCCCTGGCTCTAGCCCCCAGCTCTGGCATCGCTACAGCTGCAGCTCCAGCATGCCTCCGGATGCAGCCCAGTTCCAGCCACACCCCTCACACGCGCCTCGTGCCCACAGCATGAGGGGGCTCTACCTACTGACCCAGTGGGGGCGGCGCGCATGCCGCCCAAACCCCATGCCATCAAACCCCTCATACGCTCCGTCCCCCAAGCAGAGCTCCACCTGCGGCCGCAGTGGGCGCGGGCGCATGCCGCCAATCATCGACACACTCTCTCTCTCACACACACTCTCTCTCACACCCACACGCACGCACGCACGCACGCACGCACGCACACACAATACACACGCACGCACAACACACACACACACACACACACAAAAGCGCGCACGCACAAACAAACACACACACACACACACATACGCACACACTCCATACACACACACAACACACACACACACGAAACTCACACGCACGCACACACGCACATACACGCACGTACAACTCTCACGCTCGTGCCCTGGTGGGAGCTCCACCTACGGCCGCAGTGGGGATGGCGTGCATGCCGCCCCTCGTCCATTTCGTCACGCCCCTCGCACGTTTCGTGCGCTCGAAGGGAGCTCCGCCTACGGCTACAGTGAGCGCCGACGCATGTCGCCCCACGCCCATTTCGGGCCCCCCGCACACGCTTTGCGCCTCAAGATGGACCTGCATCTGGATACGGCCCCTGATGGCGCATTCGCATGCCGGCCTTCGCCAATGCCCGCACAATCCTCCCACGTGACGTGTCACCACGGTGACTCTAGCTCCATACATCCTGCGGCGCGTAGTCTATGAGGACAGGGCCACGTCCTGCGCTATACGAAACTGCTAGGGTTGGGCCCGTCGCGAAATTGACTCTGAAGGATCGGTGCACTTTTAACGTGGACGATCCGGCTGCGTTCGCAAAGGTTATGGGTCATACTGTAATGGGATCACGCGCGGTCCAAGATCCCCTCCCCATCCACTGCCAAGGGTGAGCAGGAGGGGCAAGGAGGAGGGGGCGGAGAGAGAGGAAACAGACGATCACCTGTTGATGAAGGCGAAGATAAACAGGTTGTAGTGGGACCACGTGCTTGCCCCTCTCATCTTGTCCAGCGACCTCCGGGCGGCGCGTGGGCACCTTGGTTTGCACGAGCGATGATCGACGATGAGCAGACATGTGAGCAGAAAGCCGCATTCGAAACACAGCTTGTCCGCAAGGATGGCGAAGGGTGCGCTATGTGCTAGAGTTGCTCGCGCGGACGTCATCAGAATCCTCTGCGCAGATTGCGCGGACCCTGCGTGCGCCCCAACTCGCCTCATCCTTCCCGTCAAGGGATGAATGTCGGTCGTGGGCCACGCCCAAACATCCACCTGTGTCCTCTGAGAGCCGCGTGTCTGTAGGCATGGCAACCGTGCGGCAGGCGATGGGCAGCTGAAACTGGGGTACAGAAAGCCGATACCAAGCAACCATTCGACGAGCGCGTTCCACTATTCGCAAAGAAGCTACTCGCAAATGGCCTGGACCCGCCACGGGAGATCCACGATACATTCTATCGACGCAAACCTATATTGTTTTTGTTCTGACGTTTACGAGTAGACACTTTGCGAGTAATGGAACGCGCTCGGCGGACCATGGAATCACGTCCCCGAGCTGAGACACCACTACGAGGCACCGATTCAATGACTCGGCAGCCGATGGATCGCTACAGAGTGAGCGTTCTGAGAAGGCAGGCGTTGGGGCAGCCAGGAGGTACGCACGGCTCATTTCTGAAGGCGCCCGCGTCTGGACCTATGGGTCTGCACTGTCACGGCTCGGTGCGCACTGCTTCTTCCAAAGCCCGCCACGCCCACTCCGCTCACACCCTCCAACGCTTACACCTGCGGGGTGGATCCAGTCAGCCCGTTTCATAAGGATGTGCGGTATCCTCGTGTAGAGGGACATGCCCGACTTCACCCAAAATGGGGGCCACGAGGCAACGGGCAGGCACCCAAGAGGAGCCCAGAAGAGGCCCCCAAGATGCACAGAAGAGAGGCTCCCGAGAGGCCCCCAGAGGCATCCAAGAGGCTTCTTTTGTCCACGACGACCCAGGCAGATGGGCCTAAGAGCCGAAGGGTCCACGACCCAGGCTTCTTGTCCACGACCCAGGCTTCTTGTCCACGACCCAGGCATTGTGGTGGGATGGGCCGAAGGGCAGAGGATCCGCCGCATACGTACCCTGCCGGAGGAGTGCGTGACGTGCCGGAGCTTAGAATGACTGCTGGACACTCCAAAAGGGTGCCAGTTCCAGGCTGCGTTAGGCCCAGCACGACGGCCACACAGAAGGCCCTTTGACCCGCCGCAAATCATCCATCGTCTCCAAGATGGCCCTGATGGCCCAAGACGGGGCTTCCAAGGCAGATAGTCCAATATGGTTTCCATGGCATTTCCTGGACAACCAAGCTGTCTCAGAGATGGCCCAAGACGGTCTCAAATAGATCCCAGAGACTCTCTTGAGATTATCTCGGGCTGGTCTGGGCCCTCCAGGTACGCCCAACGCCCAACAAGCCAAAATAGGTAGACAACCTAGAATTTGATTGCGGACGTCTCTGGGGTCCGCGGCATCAGTTCTGATATATCGTGGCGGTCCTTCGAAGACCTGCTTTGGCTGTACTGGCCTGCCCATGGATCCAGGCCGCACCACGACTTCGGACCTGCACTTCTGCGTCCCCTCACCCCCAGACGGCAGACGCAGCGGCAGGGCCGACCTACGACCGTGGCCGAAGCTCCCTCCCTCGCCTCGGCACGCAGGGGAGGACGGGGGGGGGGCGTGGTTGCAATGCTCTCACCATGGGGTGGGCGCTCCCGCGCCGCTGTCTCACGGGTGCTCGTCAGCGACCAGCACGGCACCCCGCAACCCCCAGACTGTACTGGAAGGGAGGGGCAAGTCTGGGGGCAAGGCGGAGCTGCAATGGCTAGCATTGATGACCACGAAGACGCACGCGCCGTGCTGCCCATGTGCCTCCCTGCTATGCAGTGTACATTGCGCGTGCAAGGCGCATATTATGATTCCCGCCTCTCCTAAGAGCATGCGAGACGGCCCACGAGGCCCCCGATACCCGCACAAGATGGCCACAACATGCCCCTGAGGAGAAGGAGGACGATGATGATGATGATGATGATGCTGATGCTGATGCTGATGCTGATGCTGATGCTGATGATGATGATGATGATGATGATGATGATGATGATGATGATGATGATGATGATGATGATGATGATGCGGAGGAGGAGGAGGAGGAGGAGGAGGAGGAGGAGGAGGAGGAGGAGGAGGACGTGGAGGAAGAGGAGAGCCCGAATAGAGCCCAAGACACGGCCCAAAATCGCGCCAAGACGGCCCAGGAGGGCCCCAAGACGGCACCAGAGGCTCCCACGGGGCCCGACGACGGCCCAGAGGCTCATCCCGCAGCTTTGCGGCGATCGCCTCCCCTCGCTGCCGATCATGTTCGCGGCCATGAGGCTCAGCAGTATGATCGCCATGACCGCCTCGGGGCGCGAGAGGGCGCGAGTAGGCACCCTCATAAGGTGAAGCCGGGACGAGAATGACTCCGGGTGAGAATACATCGTGGATCTCTGAAATCCGGCGGCTCTGGGGGATGTCTCGGGCGCCGCGGCCTTCTCAGAGCGTTCAGGAAGGCTCTGAGAGAACTCCGGCAGGCTATGGAACAGATTCGTCCTCGTCCTAACCCCGTCCGACCTCATCTCATGCTCCACCCTCCCCGACAGGCTGCAGCAGCTAGTCCTACTCCTCCTCCCCCTCCTGCTCCTCCTCCTCCTGTTCCTTCTCCTCCTCCTCCTACTCCTGCTCCTGCTCCTGCCCCTCCTTCGGCTACTCCTCCTGCTCCTGCTCCTGCTCCTGCTCCTCCTCCTCCTGCTCCTCGACCTCCTCCTCCTCCTCCTCCTCCTCCTCCTCCTCCTCCTCCTCCTCCCCTCCTGCTCCTCCTCCTCCTGCTCCTCCTCCTGCTCCTGTTGCTCCTCCTCCCCTCCTCCTCCTCCTGCTCTTCCTCCTCCTGCTCCTCCTCCTCCTCATCCTCATCCTCATCATCCTCATCCTCATCCTCATCATCCTCATCCTCATCCTCATCCTGCTCCTCATCATCATCATGGTCCTGCTCATCCCCCTCCTCCTCCTCCTCCTTTTCCTCCTCCTCCTCCTCGTCCTCGTCCTCCTCCTCCTCCTGCTGCTCATCCCTGTCCCTGTCCTGCTCCTCGTCCTGGTCCTGCTCCTGCTCCCTCTCCTCCCATGCCCGGCTCCCACTCGCTCATCCCGCCCATCACGCTCGCCCTTATCCTGCCCTTCATCCTTCCCCTGCTTGTTGGCCCTGCAGGTCTTGTTTCGAGTAGGCCGAACTCCAGCGGGTGGGCAGCACATCTACGTCGGCTCGCTTCTCTGGCACAGGCGTCTTTGTTATGCACATGTAGCAGGCAGAGCCCCATAGGACCCTGAAGCACACTCAGTCATTCGCTCATCCTCCCTCTCAGCGCACCCCTCAGTATCATGCAGCTCACCCCCCCTTCCCAAGAACCCCCCTTCCACTTTGGGGGTGCCCATGTGCGCCGCGACGCCCGTCGGCAGATGGAGAAACAATCAGCACAATGGGAGAGGTGAGCGCACCCGGCTTGCCCTTCCTCCTCTCCCTCCTCCTCCTCCCTCCTCTCCTTCCTCCTCCGCCCTACACTCTCTCCTGAGAGGCAGCATGAGAGCAGGACTGCACCGGGGCGGGAAACCTCGACCTGGCATCGGCGACGAAGCTGCCAATAGGTCCACGGGAGGCACCCGAGCGCGAACCCCCACGCTCCTGGGCGGGGTGGGCCACCGGGGGCCCCTGCCGGCGATGCATGTGCGACTCTCGGGGTCTTGATGCAGCCCCCCCCCCCCCGAGTCTACAATTGAAGGGGCCCAAGGGCACACAAATAACTACACACAAATGAAAGGATCCCCCATCTTTTCCCATATTTTCTGGGCTTTTGTCTTCCCCCCCACTTCCCATATGTTCCCATATTTTCCGGGGAGTCGTCGACGCCCCCGACGCCCCCCCGCGACAAGGACAGCAACGACGATCCCAAGGGCCCCAACGATCACGACGATCAAAACGACCTCAGCTATCACAACGATCACAGCGACAACGATAACGATCACAACGATCATCACAGCGATCACAGCGACCACAGCGACGACAACGACGACGAGCACAACGATCACAACGACGACAACGATAACGATCACAACGATCGCCCTCCCCATGCGGACACGCCCCCCGACGCCCCCGCCCACCCCCCCCTGCGGCGCGCCGGGCACGCCTGCCACACCCAGTACACCACGGGCGCCATGGAGGGGCGAGAGGGCTCCTGCCGCCAGGCCGCCCCTTTCGCGCCAAGCGCCCTTCCTCGCCATCCCCCCTCCCCCCTACATGGGGACGAGGGGGAGCGAGGAGGGACGAGGAGGACGAGGAGGACGAGCGGGGGCGAGGGCAGGGGAGGAGCGACAGGACGAGGAGGGACGAGGGAGGTGCGAGGGAGACAGACCAGAGTAAACCCACCAGCGATACAGTGGAGGCCAGTCCACAAGAAACCTTCCACAAGAAACCCAATCCTGAGACCCCAGGGCGTCCCTTGATTTTGGGTATGGGAACGTCGCGCCTTCCACAGCAAAACCATCGAAACCGAAGAAACCCAGGGCTCCCTGGAGGCAGGCAGGCTGTTTCTTGGCATGGGCCTCTACTGTATTGCAGCACGCTGTCCTAGCCAAAGTCCCCCCCTCACGCGTCCCTCCGCGCATGCCTTGTCACTACAAGAAGCGCCCCCCCTCCTTGAAAGCCCAGCGCAGCTGGGCCTGCAATATATTGGTCTCGCCCGTCCCCATCCTGTTATATCCAGGATCGCCTGCAGGGCCCGGAGCATCGCCCCCCCCATCCGTGACGGAAAGACGTCGCCACTGCCGCCCGCGATCCGTGCCGCGCCCAGGGCACCGCCACGAGCCGTCGAGTCGATCGGGTCGCGTCTCCCCTGCTTTCCTGGGGGGGGCGGCTCAGCAGGAACCGTGAAGGAGCAGAAGCAGAAGAAGAGACAACGCCATAGGAGGAGGAGGAGGAGGAGGAGGAGGAGGAGGAGGAGGAGGAGGAGGAGGAGGAGGAGGAGGAGCACACAAACTTTTGGCGCTGCGCGCGGACTTCTTGGATCAGCGCTGGACCCCCGCCCCGGCGCGCGGAGCGCGCAAGGGGCGGCGCCGGAGGCGCCGCCGGGGGGGGCCCAGCGCGGATTCAAGGAATCCGCGCGGAGCGCAAGAATTGTATGTTTATGGTGTTTCTCTTTCTCGAATAGAGGACCGGGAGGAGAAGACCTGCAGGGCACGGGGCATGGGCATGCTTCCAAGGCCCCCTGCGCTTTGAGCTGCGCGGTTTTTGTCTGCCGTCATCCCTGAAGGCAGCTGTCTCGGAAGTGCCCCCGAGCGCCGCTGAACAATGTTTTAAATCGCCGTGTCCAGAAGCAACCGTCACGGAAGTGTCGGCGGAATCCGCCGCACAATCGAGGGACGAGGAATAGGAAGAAAGAGAGAGAGAGAGAGAGAAGAACATGTTGAATGCTCGTTCTGGGGACCTTCTGGAAGCCACTCGCTCCACTCGGGCGGCGTCGATGCTGCGGCGAACGCTCGTCGACTCGAGTCAAATTTGAGTCGAGCTAGCGCCGAACTGGATTCGAAGTAGGGTCGGGGTGTATTCGAAGCGACCCCCCAGGCGGGCCCCCAAAGAGGTCCCCCCAAAGCGAGCCTCGGAGGAGAGAGGGGGAGAAAGAGAGCGAGCGAGAACACGCGCCAGAACACGAGAGAGAGAGAGAAGCTGACAGGCTGCCCTGAGCCGGGTTGTGCACGGTGGCAGAGAACATGCACCCAGTCCCTGCCATACTCTCGGCGGGAGGAGGAGACGGAAAAGAGGGCACACGGAGGCGACGAGAGGCAAGGCAGAGAAGGGGAAAGACAGCCCCGGCGGCCGCCGCGTGCGGCAGTCGAGCGGAGAACGGCTTGCTGTGGTGGGTGCGTCGGGTACGAGCCGCCTCCTCCTCCTCCTCCTCCTCCTCTTCTTCCTCTTCTTCCTCCTCCTCCTCCTCCTCCTCATCATCATCATCCTCGTTCTCCTTCATCGTCCTCCTCCTCCTCCTTCGCCTCCTCCTCATCATCATCCTTCTCCTCCTCCTCCTCCTCCACCTCCTCATCCTGATCCTCCTCATGCTCCTCCTCCATCGGCCTCTTCCGAAGGCCGATGGAGGAGTCGTGGGCCATCGACATCGTCTTCTCCGGATAAGCAGACCAATCCCCGTGCCACTCTTGCGGCGGTGCTGAGCTGCAGCATCGCAGCGGCGCCTCCTTGACGGCCGCAAGGGCGGTCCTGCCAGGCCCTCCCCGGGAGACATCGGCACACGGTACACACCACCCTGCAGGCGCATCAGTGCTGCTCCCAGCAAGGTCGCAAGGCTTGCCGCAGGCAGCTGGATGAGGGACCCACCAGGACCAGGAATACCTGACGCACCCACCGTCGCCACGGGCACGGATCTCGTGCGCAGGGTGGCGGGGCGCAGGGCCAAGGAGGCCTGGGATGAGGCCGGAAGGCCATCCCCCACATAATGAGCGTCGTTTAACCGATCCCTTTCCCCACTCGCGTGGCCTAGGCCCCACTGGCCGGTTTACCCCCCTAGATGGGGATACAGGCAGCTACTGGCAGATTTCGAAGGGCATATCCCCAACTTGGGGGATGAGATGCAGGGGTCTGGATGGGGGTGGGGATTGGGATGGGGATCGGTTGAACGGCACTCAGATAAATAGGGGGAAAACAAACCTACCTCGCTTTTGACCACCCTCGCTTCCAAGTGATACCAAGCGATGCCAAACTACTGCCGCTTGACGAGGAGGCGCGTGGTGTGACTTGGTTTTGCCTGGAAGCGAAAGCGGGGATAGGTAATTCACGCTCTGAATAAAAGCAGGCAGCCTGCACCACTGGGCTGCGGAGCCTCAGCGGAAGCGCTCGGCGGGCATGCCAAACTGGCCCGGCTGCCCGAGCGCGCCGGGGAGGCCCGAGCCCAACCGCAGCCCTCCCCCAACTCAACATCACCGCCCGCGCGAAGAAGAGAATGGGGTCCTACGCGCCCAGAGCCCAGAGATCCAGCGCATTGAAAAAATCAAGACAGCGTTTTTCCGAATCTTCGGCCTCTAGGGGCCCTCGCCTGGACCCGGGACCGTCGAAAAACGGCCCGGGATGAAAAACCGGTCCTGGGGAATGGGTCGAGGCTTCCGGGGACCGCGCATTGCAAAAATCACGACGTCGGACCTCTGGGACCCCCAGCCTTGTGATGTTCTCACAAGCACGGGCCCCCAGAGAGCTGGACCCTCTCTTCCAACACCAGGTGTTCATCCGAGTCGTCGATGGACGGTCTGGGGGCCCGGTGAGGGGCCCCGGGGACCGAAGACTGCCAAAAAGAGCCCTTCCGTCGCAGCGCACCTCGCGACGAGGGCGGGAGGGCACGACGGCCCCGCGCGACGGCTCCCGCAGACCGCCCGCGGGGCACACCGCGGGGAGAGATCTGGGCGCCTCCGCGCCCCTGCGCGGACAGCTCACGCGAGGACGTTCGCGCAGTGGGGCAGACCACCCCAACCCAACCCGAAGACCCCAATTTCGGGTTGGGGGGGGTACGGTTTCCATATGTGTTTTTCAACGTTCCCCGATCCCCACCCCAACTGGAAATGGGGGGCAAATTGAGGCCTTGGGGTTGGGTTGGGGTGGTTTGGTGGGCGGTAACCGTCTCTTGCGTCGCGCGCGCGTGTGCTCCATATCTCATCGCCCGCAATGCCTTCGGGGTGTGCCGGCCGCTGCCGGCGGAGGGCTCCCCACAGTTGGAACCGCACCAGCGGCGCGCCCTGGGGGGGAGGGGGGGGAGGGGGGCGTAAGCTTAGGTCGGGCGTGTCCTCCCACAGGCGGAGTTTAGAAGAAAAACATATTAATACATACTCAAACATTGTCCCGATGATTTGTCAGCTCGTCCAGAGACTATTGGTTCGACTATGTTTGAGTCTTCCTCCTGTAGATGGACATGCCCGACTTCAGAGTCAGGCTTTTCCGAAGAGGGCAGCGGCTTCGCGGACGGCCGTGCTGGGCCCGCTGCCTTCTGAACCATAAAATGGCGTGCGCCCTCTCCCTTGGTTTCCCCCGTGGCGCGCCGCCGAACCCAGAGTAGGCGCGCCCACGTTAACAACGTGGGGCAGCCTCGCGCACATCGAGAGCAGAAAAAATATCACAGGCACTGCACGGCCCAGCAGCTGGCTGCCAGAATGCCCGTGCGGCCACTGCCGCCCAGGCCACGAGCCGACGACGGACAGAGGTTTCGTCGCCAGTGCTGTACGGTTGTGCGCCGATCGAAGCGACTGTTTCCGATGAAACAAGCAAAATGGAAGCGGAAGGGCCCGCTGCTCGATATCCGCCACTGCGCCATGCAGCGAAGCGTGTGTGGGCGCATGGCTTTGCCCATCGAAGAACGCAACTCGACGACGCAAGCCTGCCTCCCCGAGGCTTGGACGACGACCTTCTACGGCACGTTCGCGTCGTGACGATTCGGGCGGTGGCTTCCGACACCTCGTGGCTCGCTCAGCCTTGTTCAATCGCGACCGCCAGACGCAGCAGATCGCTCCAGATGGGCTGGTTCCAGGCAGCTGGCGTCGCTCAACCTTGAGCTCCCGCGCTGGAGCCGCCGCCGCGCCGGCACGACACGGCACGAGCCCGCCGCGCGCTGGTCGAGCTCGCTTGAGCTCGGCGGTTTGCACGGGCGCGCCGGCGGTCTGCCCGGGGGACGGCCGGCCCCCGCACCACAGTGCCTCTGGAAGAGTGGCGCGCCCGCCAGTCGCAGGAGTGTGCGCGGTCTTGCGCGTGACGCCCACGAGTTGCTCCCCTTGCCCTCTCCCCCCCCTGCTCCTCTGTCGGGCGCTGGCAGAACTGGGTTCAGTGGGACCTGGTTCAGTGGTGTGTACTGGGGGACGCTCCCCCCCCCCCGCCCGCCCCTTCCACTAACCGGAACTGCCGTCCCCCGAGAAAAAGCACCAACTACGGCAGACCTGGTTTAATGATTCTGGCAAGTTTGGGGGTTCCAGGGCCCTACTCCTAACCGGTTCCCCTTGCCCGGGGCCCTGGCGATGCCATGCCCGACTCTGGCGCGTTCGCCCCAGCCGCCGGTCCGTCCGCCTCCTTCTCCCGGTGCACGGGGGAATGAGGGGCAACGATAAGGTGGGACTGACATAGGGGGGGATGAATCGACCTGGAATCGGCGATACATCGCAAGTAGATCGGCGATAGGCTGCATACCGTGCATCCGCACTTTACTGGGCAGGTTGGGGCTATCGGGCCCCTATCTGCGATCAATCGGCGATTGGGGGTCGATGCGTCCCGCCCTATGCCTATCCCCCCCTATCGTTGCCCCTGAGGGAAGCACCCCCAAGCTTCTGCCAGAAGTCTCCAGCAGCCGGCCTTGCCCCTCGGCACCGCTGGAAGAAGGCGTTTCACGGGCGCTAGCCTTGGGAACATGCGGCGGCGCGTTTCGAGTTGGGGGGGGGCCCCCCTCAACGCCCGGCGCCGTTGATCAAAACCGAGGGGACCCCCCTCCCCCCACACGCCCCCCCCCTCCCGAACCCCCCCCCCCTGGCGCGGGCGCCGGCGCTGGCAGCCGCCAGCAGCGCCGACGTCGAGGACGCAGCGACGATGACCAGAGGCAGCCCAGGGGGGGGGGACTCCCCCCCCCCCCTGGGCGCCGGGTGGGGAGGGGGTTTCAGGCCCCCCCCCCACTGGCGCCGGCGCCGGCGCTGGCGCCAGAGACGGCGGAGACGCATCGACGATTACCACCACTACCACCACCGCCGCCACTACGACTACCACCACTGCCTCAACCCACCACCACCACCACCAGCTCACCACACAACCACCACCACCACCACCACAGCCACCACCACCACAACAACCACCACCACAACTCACCATCACCACCACCACCACCACTTCCACCACCACCACCACAAAAACTCACCACCAGTACCACCACCACCACAATCTACCACACCACCACCGCCACCACCGCCACCACCGCCACCAATACTAGCAGCACAACCCACCGCAACCACAAGAAACCACCACACCACCACCACCACCACCACCGCCACCACCACCACCACCACAAACATCACGACCACAACTCACCACCACCAAACCACCACAAACCACCATCACCACCACACCACCACAAACATCACGACCACAACTCACCATCACCACCACCACAACCACCACCACCACAAGAACCAACCACCACTACCACCACCACTACCACCGCCATACCCACCACCGCTATTAGCAGCACAAGCCACCGCCACCACCAAGAACAACCACACCACCACCACCACCACCACCACCACCACCACCACCACCACCGCAACCACCACCACCAGCAGCACCACCTCCACAAACCGCCGCCACCATCACAACCCACCACCACCACCACCACCACAAACCACCACCACACCACCACCAAACCATCACCACCACCACGACCACGACCACCACCACCACCACCACCACCACCACCACCACCACCACACCACTACCACAACCACCGCCACCACCACAACAAACACCACACAACAAACCACCACACCACCACCACCACAACCACCACCACCGCCACTACCACCACCAAACCCACCAACCACCAACCCACCACCACCCACCACACCACCACCACCACCACCACCACCACCACCACCACCACCACCACCACCACCACCACCACCACCACCGTCGTCCTCGTCGACACTCCCCGCCGCCGCCGCCCGCCGCCGCAGGCGCCGGCGCCGGCCCAGAAAAGGGAATCGTCGTCCCCGCACTCCAGCCACCGACGCAAGCACCGGCTGAGGAGAGGAGGGGAAGCAGGGGAGGAAGGAAGGGGGGTTGGGTTCGGACCCCCCCCGCCCTCCCCCCCCCCTCCGTCAAGGGGGGAGGGGGAGGGTCCGGTTTCAACCCCCTCCCCCACCCCAAGCGATCCCAGAACGCGCTCTTTCGCACCGCTGTACGCCTATACGCCTACTTCCCCGCCCTTAACGCACCTGCTGCTGGGGTGGGGGGGTTCGGACCCCCCCCCTCCCCCCCCTCCATCAAGAGAGGGGGGGGTCCGGTTTCAACCCTCCCCCTCCAAGCGATCACGAGACGCACTCTTTCGCACCGCTGTATGCCTGTACGCCTGCACTTCCCCGCCCTGAACGCACCTGCTGCTTCGGCCGCAACGCCTGCTGCCTCGCCACACCGCGCCCCCCCTGCTGCAAGCGGTGCGTCTCTCTTCCGCGGGGGTGACCAAAAGGTACCGATACCGCTGCCCCCCGGACCTCCACTGGTGGCGACGAGGGCCTCCCAGGAACCCCCTAGAAGGGGAACGCGGCCGAGGGGTAGCGGTCTGGGTACCCTTTCCACCTCTGATCCACACCCGGGCACGGGGCTTTACGTCCCGCGGGCTCTGCGCAGTCCGCCCTGCACCCTGGCCGGTCGGGGCCCCCGCGGTCCGGTCTTCGGCCTCCTCGTCGTCCACGGTGCTCGATGCAGTGCGCCTGGGCCCTCGCGAAAAGGTGGTGCCACTTCGCCGGCTGGGGGGGAGGTGGTGGCGCCCCGTACTCGTGCCAGGCCCTGAACTCGCGGCAGCGGGGGCACTGCTCGCAGGCGGAGGATATACGGCAGGTTCGTGTCGTGCCGACCCTGGCGCTGGTCCCTGACACCGCGGGAAGCGTTCGACCTTGAACGATCGGTATCTTACCAGACGTCCGATCGTTTAACACATCGACCGATTTTGGGTCGCCGGCGGCTTTCAACCTTGAACGCCCGCGCTGGGGTCGCCGCTGATCGACACGACGCGAACCGACCGCACCCGACATCCTCACACGTGCACCTCAGACTCCTGTCGCGACTCTCGGGGGAACTGTGTCTAGGAGCATCTGGTTGTGAGGGCGAGTCCGCGCAGACATTAGGCGCGGCAGCGACGACGGCAGCGACGACTTTGGTGACGTCCTCCTCCTTTGGACACCTTTCAGGAGAGACGAGGGAAACACAGGGGTAAGAGCGAGGGGGACTTCCTCTTGCCGTTTTCCCTCCGCGGCAACTCAGGCAAGTGCGCCTGGCGTTGTTACGCCCGCTCTCTGGCGTGCTACTCGCGGCGCTTGATGGTTTTTGGGGTGCGCCCACGTTCCACGCCGGCTTTAGCACGGTAGCCACTTGTGTGTGAGCCTGACTGCGAGTGAATCTGAGCGTGGGTGACCTGAGTGTGAGCGAGTCGGACTGTGAGTGGATCCAGGTTTGGTTGCGCCTGGGTGTGGGTGATTCTGGATACAGTCAGCCTGAGTACGAGTAGGTCTGAACATGAGCGAGTCAGAGTGCGAGCGAGTCTAGGTGCGAGTGGGTCTGAGTGCAACGCAGATAAATCTGAATATGAGTGAGTCTTGGTGCTAGGTAGTCTGAATGTGAATGAGCGTGGGGATGGGTGTGTCTGAGTGTGAGTGAGTCTGAGTGTGAGCTGGTCATGGTCTGACAGAGTCCGGGCTTGAGCGAGTCTGACTATCATCGAATGAGTTTGAGTGAGCCTGGGAGACACTCACTTCGAGTATGAGAGAGCTTGAATGTGACGAATGAGTCTCAGTGGGGGAAAGGTGATGATGAGTATGTCCGAGTTCGAATGAATGCGTCTGAATGGAAAGAGGGAAGGAGGTGAGCTAGTGAGTGAGGAGCACACAAGTCCAGAAGAGAAGTCAGCCAAGCAGAAACTGGCAATCTCCACCACTCTCCGTCGATGTCGGCGCCTCTTCGGCTTGCCGTTCTGCTCTCTCTCTCTCTCTCATCCGCTGCCTCCTCCCTCTCCCTGGCTGCCCACGCACCCGCACACGAACCTACGCACCTACGCACACACGCACGCACGCACGCACGCACGCACGCACACGCACACACACAAACACACACACACACACACACACACACACACACACGCACACGCACGCGCGCGCACGCACGCACGCACGCACGCACGCACGCACGCACGCACGCACACACACACACACACACACACACACACACACACACACACACACGCACGCACGCACGCACGCACGCGCGCCCACACACACGCGCACACGCACACACACACAGGCACAAACACACGCACACACATTCAGCAGGGCTGGACCTAAACGGTGCTATCCGCATTGTGTTCGTGTTGTGTGTTCGCTTTGCAAAACAAGACACAGCCGAAGACCAGGAAAACAGCGTTTTGGTCCAGCCCTGCACGCACACACACACACACAGCGCGGTGACGGCTACGCGCGGCAGCGCGATCATATAAAAGTACATCACAGGCACGCCACAGCGGAACACCGCAAGTAAAGATCAGGGAACGGCGAGGAGGACGCGGAGGGAGAGGAGCATCAGGGAAGGCAGGGCGCCAGCAACACACAGCGAGTCTCACAAAGAACTTGCCTCGGCCACTACATGAATGAGCGCGTGCTGAACACCTTTCCTGGCGGACAGGATCAAGGCGTGCAAGCCAGGCCTAAGCAAGTTCGAATGCTCATCGTATGGCTGATGCGAAAGCGGAGTCTTAAATTCGATGTGCCAGGCGAGGAGGCGAGTATGTGCAGATCTCGGGACAATACTTCGTTGTCCTTGATGTCGGTGCGGCAATCGCTGAGTACATCGCCGAGGTTCGAGCTGTGCAGCTCAATGAGGGGAAACCACTAGCCCGCGTCGACCATTCCTGTGGCACTACCGGTTCAGACACCAGACGTGGATGCGAGCTGCTGGGCGCTCAAATGCCATACCCCTGCGTGGCACAGGAGGCGGCCGTGCCTGAACTTGATTGTTTTCAGGCGCCGGGTCGGGCAGCCTGGTCGAAGAACGTTCTAACATAAATGTTTCTGCGATTTGGGACGCTCGCCCCAGGGCGGCTGGGAAGTTGATGCCCAAAGGTGCCGCCGTAATGGGCACAAACGTGGCGGCCGCCCAAGGTGCAGGCGTCCCCGACGGCGGACAAAAAGAAACAGTTTATGTTGTAAACCTCTTCGCCCGCCCTCGACTGCACGCAGGAGCGACCCCGGGCAAGAGTGCCTCTTCGCTGCGCGGCGTCTCGGGGGCTGCGGGGGGACCAGATGCAAACTCGCAAGACGCTACTGCCGCCTCAGTGGGCCCCAGTGGGCCCGCACCAGCGGTCACTCCGGCGAAAGGTCGGTCCCCAGACCCCCGACGTCGTGATTTTGTCCCAACGTCGACCCCCAGAGGTCTGGACCCCTTCCCTGGGACGGGCTGTTCATCCTGAGTCGTTTCTTCACGAGCCCGGGGCCTGGGCAGGGCCCCCAGCGGCCGAAAAGAAAAAAACCTCCCGTCGCGATTTGATCGCAGCGCGAGGGGGTTTGGAGAGGTCACTCCGGCGAAAGGTCGCTCTTACGTGCAGCCGATGCTCATCCTCCAGCACCACCGGCAGCAGCCCCTGCGCGAGCATCGAGCCCGACCACCGCTGCTGCTCCGAGCCGCCCGCGCCGCGCCGCCGGCCAGCCAGGCCGTCGGAGGCCGCGCCGGACCCGTCCGACGAGAGGGCGCCGCTGCAGGAGCCCGGCGCCCGTGTGGAGCACTCGCTGCAGCTGCCGTCGAGGTGGTCGTCCTGTGGCAGCGCGCGATGCGGGGGGGAGGCCTCCTCAGGAAATCAGGACTTGGGCTTTTGTCCCCATGCTCGGCCTCCTGGGAATCTTCCCCGGCCTCGGGGCTGTCAACAGAACGACTCGGGACGCAAAACTGGGCCGAGGGAAGGGGTACAGACCTCTGGGGGTCGACGCTGTGAACTCGGGGGTCTGGGTCTCGAGGGACCTCCCGAGGGAGGCGCCTCTCGGGCAGCCATGGGGCTTTCTCGTGGCCCACCCACGGAGGCGGCGCCGTCAGCGCCGACAGTGGCCCGTCGAGGGCCACCAACGGAATCCAAGGGCCGACCTGTGCCGACGAGGTGGGGCGATGCTGGCCCTGGCCCCCAAAAAATGCAAAAACAAATCGTCCTCTGACTACTTTTCAACTACATTTGAATATTCCTCCTGTAGAGGGACGTGCCCGACTTAATCTCAGGAGGCGCCAGCCGCCTTTCTAAGAAGCCAGGTGCCCAGGGCATCTCCAGGGAGGCCCAGATGGCCTCTGGAGAAAGCACTGCAGGCCTCCCAAGGGCTGGGGTCCGAGTGGATGGGGTCGGGGGATCGCGCCGCATCGCCAGTGCATCGGCTATGCGGCTCGATGTGGAGCCCGACGTTCTCCACGCCGACGTCAACGATACATGGCAAACGTCGCCGAAGCATTGGCGATACATCGGCAATGCATCGGCGATATATCGCGATCGCCTGGCCCCATTTACACAGACCCCATCTGGGAGGCCTAGACCAAGGTCGAGCGAGGCCGAGTGAGCGACGAAAGGAAGAGTGGCTTACGCACGATAAGTAGCCCCGCATCTCCAGGGGGGCCGCATCTCCAGGGAGGCCCCCGCATCTCCAGGGAGGCCACCGCGAGGGGCTCCTCGGGAAGGGCTCGGGGAGGCCTTCGAGAGGGCTCTCCGAAGGCAGCCTCTGAGCAGACCCCTGGTGTTTCAGCGCCCGAGGGCTCCGTGGAAGCCTGCCCGCGGCCCTGTGGAGACCCCTGGGGGGGGGCCCGGGGAGACCGCAGCTCGAGCTCGGCTGGGCGCTTTTCCCCGTGGCCCGATGGAGAAGCCCCTGGGTTCCGTGGAGCAGCGCCCCTGGGCTTCCAAGGCCCCCCTCCTCCCGCCCCTCCCCCCCCACCCCCCCTTCCCCTTGGAGGCTTCCAGAATGGGGTCCGTATACAGTCGACCCGTAGCATGAGGATGCGCGGCAAGGATGCGAGGGCCTTGGAGGCCCATGTGAACGTTTTTGGAACGAGGTTGGCCAGCGAAAGTCGCTTCGGATAGGAACAAGGGGCAAGGATGCAAGGGTACCACTGGGAAAGTTGCCCATCCTTACTATGAGGGTTGACTGTAGATGTGTTCGGAAGATCGCGCCGCATCGCCGATGCATCGGCGACGTAGGCGTGGAGAAAGTCAGGCCCCACATCAGGCCGCATCGACAATGCATCGGCGATGCGAGGTGATCCTCCACCCTATCTAAAGTGGCCCCATTTGGGAGGCCTGGACGGCCCTCCCTCAGTGAGCCTAGTCAGGAGCCACCTTCGTTGCGTGGCTGCAAGGGGCCGCGGGGTGGGCCAGATCCAAGAAACCCAAAAGCACACCACCCAGTGATGGTGGGACCCCTGCATGCGGGCGGGTGGTAGAGGGGTGCGACCTAAGTGGGGGGTGAAGACAGGGACAATACAGGGACGCTTTCGGGCCCTTCTCTTCCGCCCAATTTAGGTCACCCCCAATTTAAGTCAACGCCCATTACCACCCACCCGACCTGCGCCCGCACGAAAGCCCACTCCGACGAAAGTCACTCTTACGCGCAGCCGACTCCGCTCGTGTTAGGTCGGGCATGTCCTCCTACAGGCGGATTCTGGAAGGAACAGATACTCAACAAAGTATCAAACGTAGTCAAGACGGCACGAGAAATCGTCACCAGGCTATATTCTACTAGTCTTGACTACTCCTCATGTCGAGGGACATGCCCGACTGAACTCTTGTGCGCACCGCCGTGTCCTGCAGGTCCGCCCACGCGGCCCTCTTGCGGGGCAGCGCCGCGCGCGTGGTGGCGGCCTCGCGGAGCCGCTCGGCCTCCCGCTGCCTGGGCCTCTCCGCCCTCTCGCGCCGCTGGCCTTGGGCTGCCGCCGTGGGCGCACCCGTGCCCGCTGTGCGCCTCAAGCCGGCGAGGAGGGGGCTGGCAAGGATGGCGTCCATGTCCTCGCGAGGGCCGACACAGAAAAAACTGCACAAACAGAAACCTCCCACGGTCCGCGCGAATTTCTGGGAGCTGCGCTGGATCCCCCTGGCGGCGCCTCCGGCGCCGCCCCTGGCGCGCTCCCCGCGCCGGGGAGTGGGCTCCAGAGCACATCCAAGAAATCCGCGCGGCCCGTCGAAGGTGTGTGTGTGTGTGTGTTCATGTCATTCCTTTCTGCCCTCGAGAGCGCGGCGCCGATTCACCGTACCACGCTTTGAACTCCCCTCAGGTACCGCTCTAGCGCGGTACGGTGCACACCGTTCCGGCTCTCGGGGCCGAAGAGGTGGGCACCGCACCGTTCTTGGGTCGAGGGTCGACGACGTGTCGGGACAGTCCAACGCGGCACGGCGCACCCACTAGGCGGCACGATTCCTAAGGAGGGGTGGGGGTGAATCCTGGCTCGCGCCGCCCTGCGCGCTGGACAGCCCGGGGAGCAGCATGTAGGAGCCCGCGAAGGTGCCGGGCGCGCCGCTGGCCCAGTCTGCAGCCGCGCCGAGGTCGCCGGCGGACCCACGGGGTGCGCCGCGCCCCCGCGACGCGCCGCGGGTGCGCAGGCGCCGGAGGCGCTGCACTTTCCTTGTGGGCGGCGGGAAGTCCACGCGGACGCCGCCCTCCAGCACGATTGGTTTGCACTCGTCCAGCATGCTCTCATGCATAACCGGACTGTTGCGGTAGCGCTCGATGAGCTCGCCCAGGCCTTGGCTCGGGCACCAGCCCGCGACGATCGGCACCTCGCAGGGGTCGCCCCAGCTATGGCTGTCGATCTCGGCGAGGAAACGCTGGGCGTGCCGCGGGCTCGTAAGGTTCACGATCGAATAACCGACATTCTGGCATATCGCGAAGTCGATCGGCAAATCCGCCACCGTTCCGCCTGGCACGCTTAGGCGTTTTGTATTATATCCGTCGCAAAAACGACATGCGTACATTTGTGTATGTGTACACTCACACCTACGTGTGTGTGTGTGTGTGTGTGTGTGTGTGTTCGTGTGTGTGTGTGTGCGTTTGTGCGTGTGTGTCTGTGTGTCCTGTGTGTGCGTGTGTGCGTGTGTGTGTGTGTGTGTGCGTGCGTGCGTTACAAGTATTCATTAGTGACGCAGTGAACATCTTAGCAAGCGTGGACCAGAAACAGTGGCGTCTAGCAGTCTGCGTGGTGCAATGTGTATATATATATATATAATCATGCGTGTCTATATATATATATATATGCGGACATACAGACCTACACACATACATACGTACTTGCATACACACATATGCATATGCGTCTGTATATGTATGTTGCATATGCATCTGCGTTGCAGGGTGCGTGATGCAACCGATGTGAGGTAGTAAATGTGAGAAATCTAAGTGATGCAATTCATTTCTGGAACTCACAAGGGTCAACCCCACTGCTCGCTAAATCATCCCCCGCACTCGCCCACAGCTTGTTTTGCAAAACGCCTGCGGCGACTGCGATGACTGCTTGATACTGGCAGATGCATCTCTGCGGCCGCGAACGCCAGCGCATGCTCGCGCGCGCAGCGGCCAGCTAGTTTGGCGCGACCGGCGCGGCCGCGGTGGCTCGGACCACTGGGCACTTCCCACCGGGCATTTCACTGCGAGTCGGCGACGTGGGCGGGCGCGGTATCATGGCACCGTCGACGACGGTAGACACGATGATTTACCAGCGACGCTGGAGACGATGATAACAACGGCGACGGCACGGCCAGTGACGACGCCGATGCTGGTCACGCCGGCGACGAAGACGGCGTCCCCGCGTCGGTGATGAAGGTTTTGGAAGGAAGTCGACATGCGCGCTCGGCCGACGCGCGAGAGCGGCCCGCATGGTATGGTTTGACACGGACCGTGCCCCCCCAGCACGCGCGCAAGGGCGATCGAATGATGTCACCATGCGGCGCGAAAGGCCCGTGTGGCAGAATTGAATGGCCCGTGTGGCAGAACCGATGGTTTGCCTGAGATTCGCAAGACCGCGAGCGCATTGTTTTGAAAGTATATGTTGCACAACCATGATTCATCTTATGTGCTCGGACACTCGATTTTGAAATCCTTACGGAACCTGTGGCTTTTGAGAAACATCGGCATGCGCCCTCGACGACGCGCGCGTGCGCACTTCGTCCCACTTTTTGCCAGGGTGTTTTTGCGACAGCACGCGCGCACGTGCGTTCGAACGATTCCGACATGCGCGCGCGAGAAGCCCGCTTGGTAGCACGCTGCGAAAGCATTGAAACAAAAACTATGTCTTCCTAAGGATTCGCAAGAGCGCGAGAACTTTGTTTGAATACTCTTGCTGCGATGCCTTTGAGATGTTTTCGGGACACTCAATTTTGAAACCCGTACGAAACCTAAAGTTGTTTGAACGATTCCGGCATGCGCGCGCGACGACGCGCGCGTGCACACCTCGTCCCATTGCTTGCAAGGGCTTATTGACAACTGATGGTTTTTTATATACGAGTGCGCGCGCATAGTATTCTTTGGAGGAGGATGAAGGGAGAACCGTTGCCGGACGGGCTGGGATGGGACGAATTCGAATTTAGGATGGACGATAGGGCAGAATCATACGTCAATTGTAATACGAATAGGGAGCGGCTAAAGGGGTAGATCAGAACACAAGGAGAATACATGGAGTGAAAGCTCGATGGTGCAATCCACCCACCCGCAACTTGGTTTGCAAAACCTGTTAAGACCGACTACGACGACACCGACGACAACGACTAGGACGACACCGACGACGTCTCCGACGACTTCGACGACGACAACGACGCCGACGCCGACGACGACGAAGACGACGACGACGACGCCAACGAAGGCGACGACGAGGGAGGAGGAAGGACGACGACGGCGACAACGACGACAACGACGACAACGACGAGGGAGGAGGGAGGACGGCGACGACGCGAACGACGAAGAAGGAGGAAGGACGGCGACGCCGACGACGACAACGACGAGGGAGGAGGGAACACGACGACGACAACGACGACGACGACGGCGACGAAATAGGAGGGACGACGACGAGACGCCGACGACGGACGACGACGACGACGAGGGAGGAGGAGGAAGGACGACCACGGCGACAACGACGACGGAAACGACCACGACGCCAAAGAGGACGACGACGACGAACACAAGGAAAGACAGAGGACGACGTAGGCGACGACGACGAGGACGACGCGGGAGGAGGGAGGACGGCGACGACGACGACGACGACGACGCAGGAGCGCGCGCGCACGCTTTTGTTGAAAATCCGCGTTGCGAAACCTTGGGTTGTTGTAGGTTATTTGGTCACACGATTGCGAAATCCTTCCGAAAACGATGGGTTTTGAAGGTTTTCGGCATACGCCCGCGACGACGCGCGCGTCTGCACTTCGTCCCATTTGTTGCAGAGGATTCTCGCGACGCCACACGCGCAAGGGAGTTCGCCAGATTTCGACATGCGCGCGCGCGAAGCCCTTTTGGTAGCATGTTGTGAACATATTGAAAAAACTATGGTTTTCTTACGATTTCGCAAGAGCTCGCGCGGAAGCTTTCTTAGCAAATCAGTGTTGCGAAACCCTGTGCTTTTGTATGTTGTTGGGAAACTCGATTGCGAAATCCTCCCGAAACCGATTGGTTTTGAAGGTTTTGGGCATGCGCGCGCGACGACGCGCGCGTGTGCACTTCGTCCCTTTTTTTGCAAGGGATTCGTGAAAAAGTGCTGTGTTAAAACAAAACATGTTACCGCATAGTGTTTTTTTACCAGGGAACCCAGGGGGGGGATACTGGTTGGCATTCGACATTGTGATTTCATGTTTAGGATGGACATGTGGTCATCATCATAACTTAATTACATACCCGAAAGGTGAAGTGATTACTCCGGGGGATGGGGGTAGATCCTATTCTGTTTTTAGAACGGAGAATCTACGTGGTTCGTTATGTGAAGTGCCATCTATGTGATGCAACATGTGTGGGACTATCTATGTTGCGCGATCTTCCCAAAACACTGCTTGCACTAAAGGGTCCTTAATTCTGCACCAGGGCACTGGGACGTGTGACCGGTCTGGCGGCTATGAACTCGCCTTCGCCGCTCTTCCGCTGCCTCTTCGCCGCACGTCGCATGGGCCGTGTGGCCAGTCTGGCGGCTTATGTACTCGCCGTCGCCGCCCCGTCGCCGCCTCGTCGCCGCCTGTCGTCTGGGCCGTGTGGCCAGTCTGGCGGCTACGCACTCGCCGTCGCCCCGTCGCCGCCTGGTCGACGCCCATTGAATGGGCCGTGTCTTCGGTGCGGCCGCTATGTAGCCTCCGTCGCCGCCCGTCGCCGCCGTCGGATTGCACCACATAGATTGCACGACTGCGCCACATACACTGCACAGCGTAGATTGCACCACATAGTTGACACAACATAGATTGCACAACCAACCCCATGTATTGCACCTAAAAGCATTGCATGGCGCAGATTGCATCACACAGATGGTTTCACATACAATGCACCACATATATTACACAACATAGCTGATCCATGTATATCGAACCACATACAATGCACAGCACATCTTTCACCACAAATATAACGTCGTTCACAACATGGATTGCACCGCATAGGCTGCACAGCCTAGAGCGCTCCAACTGTATCGCACCACCTGGATTGTGCCACAAAGATCGGCTTCACGTAAACTGTCCAATATCGTTTTTTGCTTAAAAAATCGACCCTCCGTGTGGGACCACGGAACGTGTGAGGGGTGTGCCGAAATGGGAGGTGGAACCGCATGCGGGTTCTGCCCGTTGGGGCCTGAGCTGGAACTCCTCCCTAGAAGGCCACGAAACGTGTGAATGGTGTACCGAAATTGAAAATGGAACTGCATGCGGGCGCTGCAATCGGGGTGTTAAGTGAGGCTCCCTATGGTGCCACGACACGTGTGAGGGGTGTGCCGCAATTGAGGGTGAAACCGCATGCGAGCGCTGTCACTAAACCCTCTGGTGGACCTCCCTTTGGGGCCACGAACCGTGTGAAGGCGCTGCACCGAAATAGCGGGTGGAACCGCATGCGGGCGCTGCCGCTGGGGCCTTAGTTGGGGTTCCCGGTTAGTGAGGGGCGCGCCGACATGAAGGGTGGAACTGCGTGCAGGCGTTGCCCCTGGGGCCTTAGATGGAGCTCCTGGGGCCTATGGGGCCACGAAGCGTTTGCGGGGTGTTCCGCAATTGAATGTGGAACCGCACGCCGGCGCTGCTATTGGGGCCCTCGGTGGAACGCACACCGGGGCCACGAAGCGTGTGAAGCATGCACCGACGTAGGGGTGGAACTGCATGCGGGTTCTGCCCGCTGGGGCCTTCGGTGGAGCTCGTCCCTATGGGGCCACGAGCCGTGTGAGGGGTGCACCGCATGCGGGCGCTGCCACTGTGGCCTTCGGCGGAGCTCTATATGGTGGCACAGAACGAGTGATGGGTTGCGCCGACATGGGGCTTGGTAGGATGGCGGAGCGGGAGGAGGGTAAAGGATGAGGGCGGGGGGGGGGAAGGAGGACAGGAAAACGCGGGGCGCAGTTCAAACCGAGGACACAGTACCACAGGATGGTTGGGAACAGCTGATTTCGCAACAACACTAGTTTTCAAACAAGCCTACGCTCGCTTTCTTGCGAATTCTTTACAAAACCATGGGTTCGACAACAATGTCATTGACTTCTGCC